TGTTTTACTTAAATCGTGTTCTTCGAATCGAAAGAATAATTTTCTTAATAAGCCCGATGGAGATTCGATCCAATAACAACAATTGCATAGATTTTTTCGTTTAACATCACTAATGGCTTTTATAGAAGAGATAATCAAAACTTTTCATCGTCTTCGTAGGGCAGGAGAGAAGTAGGAGTAACAAAAGATAAAGCGAATCCGTATGTGCGAATTGCGAATTTAAGGAAAATACGTGTTGAATTCGCAAACAGCCTTAGATTGAAATTCACATTGAAACAACAAACAATTGGAAAAACTACAAAGTCTCAAAATGAATTGATACAAATGATAAAACGTTTGCCAATATTTATGTAATGTGTTGAAACTTAAGCTACAATGCCGCTCTATTAGAACAGTACGACATGGTGGGATCTAAGGTGAGTTTACTCAATTTCTGTAGTGACACTTAAAACTCTTTACCTAAGGTCATATGAAATATGTTTGCATAAGAATGATTAGCCGAGTAGGCAAAGGATCGCGACTAACAACTCAGTAGTCGCCGATCCAAATCTCAAGTGCGGTAGAGTTTTCAATACAGGCCAGCCATATGATCTAAGTTATCCGGAAGCCTTTGAATCCAAACTGTGTATATTTATTTACAAGGCTGTAGTCATTTTTATTGTTGTTTTCGCGCAAAACAGAAGTGAGATCAGAAAAAAAACAAATGTACGCTTACGGATCTGCAATGCCATTTGTGACACATTTCCACAAGAGTAGTGCAACTTTTTGTTAACCACAAAGTTAAATATTATGAAAATAATGGAACCTTTTGCCCCAATATATGAATTTTTACGTAAAGTGCTTTACTGTAAAATGCATCTTTGCCGAAAACTTTTTACTATACATAACATATTTAGCTGGTTATACCACACCCCTTCTCATCGTTAAAGTTCAGATGTATATGTGTTTGTACAGACTATCTTATCGATCATTGGAGGACGTAAAAGATTAGACAGGATAGCGACAATGCCTATATAAAATCACCTGAGTTACCCAATGAAATTTGGCTAAAAGTTTCCAGTAATTCATCGCATGGATACTATATTCAACCTTCTCTAATTCTATTTTCCATTTACCAAGCCGTCGTCTAAATCCTAAGTTTATTTAAACACGTGTTTACTATAAGAAATACGCATTGCGAACTGTACTACTTGGCCGTCTATGAGCAAATGATTTCACTCACTCTGTCTCTCTCTCTCTCTCTCTCTCTCTCTCTCTCTCTCTCTCTCTGTTGCCATACATATCTGAAGGAAAGGAAACATTCTCATGCGCCGTGGCCTGCATATAAATATGAGATTGCATTCAATCCATCTATGAATCAGCCTACTTGCTGCAGACATATTTCACGTTTAGAGGTTTAAACCAGGCAACGTAGAGGAGAATCTGATGCTGCTATCTTGATTTTTAAGTTCCCCAACTTGTTACTCGTTCCCCATTTTTAAGACAGTTTTAACACCGCAATTGATTTTAGCCATTAAGCAATCAGCTAAAAACTCTTCAGCATCACCGAACTGTGAGCGGCACGTGCCATCTTAAGTTCTTTAAGTCCTTAGCACAAAGCGCGACTACCTGCGACCCATATGTCACGGATATACTGATTGAAAACTCCACGTGATCCGATAACGAAATTTTATTATAGCGGCAAACTATCTATCTATGTTCTTGGAATGGACTAAGCTGGACTAAAATAATATGTAAAATTAAAAGCTTAGGTATATGAATAAATTTGAATATATAAGTTTGCTAAGTTTTGCGAATAATAGAAGATATCACATTTACAGTATTGTCCATTACTAGCTACAAGATTTCCCATCTTTCATGAAGAGTATAATTTTCCTATACCGAAGGGAACAACTTGCCTTTCAAGCTATGCACGAATGGGTTCATTTTCCTTATTTTTTATCAAAAAGACGATAAAAGATCGGTTGAAGTTCGCGCTAAGCAGAAGGAACGCTTTCTGACGAAGACAACGGCAAAGGTAGCACACTTCACCTTTTAGTGCTGGTTGATTTCCCCGAGTGAGTTTTCTAATGCGAGGATGAATGTGATCATAATCAAAACCACGATTATATGATTTTTGAAATATTACTCCCGTTTTTGGGTCAAAGTTCTTCAGCTGTCCTTGGTTACCTCTGCCAAGGTTGGTTGAATTTGTTTATAAGACACAGTAAATTTACGTTAACTTAGAGACGTGTTTTTGTGCGAATCCTACTACACTAGACATAGTAAGTTTCTTATGCCACACACTGCCAGCTCAGAATATAATATCGATCGTAGAAAAAAAAGTTATATAAAAATGCAGAGCGTAGGTTAAAATACTTTTAATAAAAATATTAGCTAAATTTAGTTATTATTATGTATTCGCTTTAGTCATGTAATTAATTTACGTTTTTTACATTACTCAACAATCAATATGTCAAACTTCCAAAGCCGCCACTCGGAATCTTCATTTCTGATTTGTATGGTTCGCGGCAAATCCAAGTTATCGACAGTTAGCAGAACAAAACCAATATTTCGACCAATTCCACGCCACATTCGTCCAACACTAATGAAATTCCATCATCCCTTTTTCTCTTTTGCTCTTCAGCAACCATTTTGTTACTTCAAGATTTCATACGGGTATGTATTTGCAAACTACCGCACATAACAACAAATAGTGTAGTGTTCCTTAGTTTTCACTTTTCCCGACAGTAGCATAGATGTATGCGATACGCAACGAAGCTACTCAACACGTCATTGTCGAAATAATCATAAAAATTAATTTAAAAAAATTCATAAAATTTACTTTTATTTATAAAATTTATAAAATTTAAAATTTATAAAATACAGTTCAAATTGCATAGAAAAAATATTGAAATGTTTGAACCAAAAAAATTTCTACTGCTAAATTAATCCCCAAACGTACGAAAATCGTTTTCATATCGAAAAGTTGTAAAAAATATTTGATTAAGATATTCGTGAGCATTGATTATGTTGTTTGTTAAATTAATTAGTGGTGTCGTTAGAAGCTTTACACTCCTGTAAAAAGAAACGTTTTTTGTTAATTTCTATCGGGAAAGACAAACAGTCAAGTGAGCTTGGAGCTTTCCAACTCATTTAGGATTCTTTGCAATTATCTCAACGATACGATCTCAACGAATTTAATCTCAATGCCAGATTTTTTAAATCAACTTTCCTTAGTGCGCGCGCTTTCTCTTTCTCGTATCAAAGTTAACTTCTATACTATAAATATTCGTATGATTTGTAAATTAAACTAGAATATCTGTGCTTTTATCGGTTGCTCTCAACTCGGATCTATGACGTCTGCGCTTGAACTTTGTTCTTCTAGATTTTTCTTTCGTGTCATCTGTTGTCCTTCGGTGATGGGTATACCATGACGTAACTCCTGAAAGTGTGTTTCAGATATCCCTCAAAGTATATAGACCCTTGTTCACCATCGAATGCTTCGATGATTCGATTTAAGCCCGATCGTCAGTTTGTCTGTGTAGTGTCTGTTGTTGATGGTAGAAAAGTTGCAATTTCTTGAACGCAGATTAGTAGTGAAAGTGGACCTAATTGGCCGATGGACACCCTTACTATACTACTTTATAAATACTGTACTACTTAAGAATACTCGGTTTTGAAATGAATTAAAAACATGGTTTTTTCCCATTACCTATTAATTTCAGCAGATAAACCTACAAAAATTTCAACTTATTTTCGGTGAGCGATGTTGTACTGTCTGTACAAAGATGCGAAAAACTGACCACGTCTACCCGTCCATCTTTCCATCTTTCCGTCTGCGCAACAGTTTGTGATAAACATTCTCCGATTCGTAAAAATGTGTATATTGTCTACAAACTTGCAAAAGGCTTTGAAAATGTTCTAAGCTGATCAAAGTTTACGCCCACAAGGCTATGTAATGAAAACTGTGCTTGCAACCTCATAAAGTGCAGCATGTGCACCGTATACATTTCCAAATTTATTCTACAGGACTAAAATTACAAAAAATCAGCCGCGCCCAGTCAATATCATAGAGTATTATACAGAGTATGAAAATGTAATTGTTTTTCTTTTTTCTTAGGATCCAGTTGATAAATATAAAAGATTCGTTCGCGACCGAATATAAGTGTCCTACATGTTCTTTTGTTTAGGATTCGTAAAAGTTTACGCAGAGTATTTATGATTCATTTGTAAGAGTCCATCCAATTTACTGCTGTTAACTTATCTTTGTGATGGAATGGGAGCCTATAATATTTAGACCATACTCGTGAGTGGCGAACGTTGGGCATTTCTCTAAATTATTATTTAAATTTTATAGCTGTAGCGAATCTAATCGCATTCCTTTCGGAGCTTTATCTGAGGAATTCAATCATAACTACGAAGCGTTGTGTCAAGCCTTGCGCCAAGTGTTTACGTTTTAGGTAATATTTTATGCGCTTGGTGGTGTCAAAAACGGCAATGATGACAAAATAGACCGACCGAGGTACGTAAAAATAGATGGATTAATCGAGGATGTTGATGTAGACGGACAGAGAAATTTATTTATTTATTTATTTATTTATTTTAATTTTACTTATACATGAAACTCAACTAAACAAATAACAGTCGAGTTCAATTGGCTCTTAAAGCAAAACTTATATTAATTAATAATAAAACTTAGTATAAGTAGTACAATAAAACAAATAAGAAGAAAAAAGCATGTACACAACCAGCATAGAGCCACACTTACAACCGGTACAGGACAAAATTGCAAATGAACCCCTAAACCATCGCAAACATGCATAAGCCTGGCAACCGATAATACTTAACAACAATTCATTTTCGAATCGTAGCGACTTTTAAGGATAAAAGCTAGTTTAAGTACGACATAGGTAAATCGCGCGAATTAAGCAATGTTGCTTTAATGGACTTTAAAGAGTCCGATAACGAGAATAAGTAATAGATGTCATTTAGGTTCTTGCAAACTACTCTGAGCGGAAATGGGTGGTGAGCTGCAAGACATGGAGGTGCGTTTAAAAGGCGTATCGGATAGGTTTCTCGGTAACAAACGCAAAGATAAAGTGAGTGCATACCTCTGCATTTTTTAAGCGATTACTATGAGAATCATATTTATGTTCGTATATCCGTTTATTTATTTAAATACCAAACATATAAACAAAGTAAAAAGCAAATAACTCTTAAGATATATATAAGAGTATATAAAATACGGAATCAAATGTTTATGTTATGAAATATTTAACGCAAACAATCTCAAGATAAGTGATTTCTCATATACCATCGTACACGCTGTGGGAGGCGAGACGGTAGTCACCGAATTGTTTGAGCCTTCTTGTATACTCTTATGAAACGAGTTTCATTGTAGTTAAAGCTACTTTTGGGATAGTAATCTTCAATTATTTTGATCTTTTCTTTCCATTCTGAGTGTGAGCAATGAAAGGGCTTAGCTCAACTTTCAATTTAAGGCCGAAAGAAAACTTTTTGCTTTAAAGTAAAAGAACAAAATGAACAGGTCAAAGCCAAATGAGAAATGGCGCTCCTTTCTACTAGATTTCCTCGACACCAGCTAGTGTCCAAGACAGCTTGATAGTATGATCACAAAGGAAAACAATCGCAGCTTTCTTCAAGCTTGCCGTAGAGCGTGGTCTTATGTGAAGGTAGCGATACACACAGTTATACACACAATATATCTTGGCATTCTCTAAGAGATTTGTGGTACTTACTTACTCCAAGCGTATATTGAGTGTATTTGTTATGATTCTATGATAGTATATGTGTTTTCGTGTGAATTGAGAAACTATAAGAAAAAAAAGAAAGAAGTGAAAAATTGAAAAGTGTTAAAAAATCGATTTTCGTTCATAGAAACATCTCAATAGGGGTTTTTTAGTAAGTAATAGAGCAAAAAGAAAAAAAAAATATTTTACGAGTAAAAAGTTGAAGAAAAAAAATACAACAAAAGTATCTACAAATAAACAAACTTTTACTTGGGCTTACTTTACTTCAAAGGCAGGTGAGTATTAGAGAATTAAATGTGAAATCGGTTGTAAATGAAAAGGAGGGAATAAATTACTAAAACCGTTCAAAAAAATGCTTAAACTTATGAAAACTTGCTTTTATGCTTTTTATGCTTTTGAGTATACGTTTGCATGTTCTTGGGTTAAATACAAAGAATGCTATGATTGTGTAATTTCTCTTTGAGATTACCACTAAGCATAACGAGTTGCGAGATTTTTTTCATTAAATGAGAACACGAGATATGCATTACAACGACGTGAAGACGATAATGAAATCGGAATCTGATAGAATAGTGAAACCCCGGATTGGTCTTAACAGCAAGCTGGGACCAAAAGTGAAAGTGAAGAAATTTCAGCAACATAACCTCGGGCCCGATGAAGTCCATATGTGTAATTTAATGTCAAAAGAAATATTTCCAAGTTAGGATTTCACAGCGACAATATAAAGCATATGCTTCAGGCGACCCTTATTCCGAATGGACTGGTGTAAGTTCCACAATTGGTTACGTAACTGCTATCCGAGGAACAAGATCCGAAAATCTCCATTTACCCAGAACGAGTACATAAACCATATTATTGCTTCCCAATCAAGCCCGACTATCTCAATCTTCAGAGCCAATCCTTATCCCGAAGTTACGGATCTAATTTGCCGACTTCCCTTACCTACATTATTCTATCGACTAGAGACTCTTCACCTTGGAGACCAGCTGCGGATATTGGTACGGTCTGTTGAGAAGTTTGCGTGACCCCACCATAAATTTTCAAGGTCCGAGGAGAAAATATCGACACAACAGTAAATGTCATGGATGGATCCATCTTCTGACTGTTGCATAAATCTGCACAAATTTAACATACTCTGGTCACTAGTGGTGCAAATTATATTTAATATCACGCAGTCGGTATTCGACGGCTTGAGCAAAAATAGGAACACGAATGCGAATGCGAGTATGAATACGAGTATGAATATGAATACGAATACGAATCCTGACATGATTATTAACATGGATATGAACAGTAACACGAATGCGAATGCGTATAGGAATGCGAATATGGATACGAATACGAATAGGGACATGGGTATGAATACGAATGCAAATACCAATACGAACGCCAACACGAACACTAATATGAATATGAACACGACTAGGAATAGAAATATGAATATGAGTTTAACCGCAAATACTGATACGAACGGGAACTCGTGTGCAAGTGCAAAAAAAAACTGTAATTGCAAGTGCGAATGTGGTTAAGAGAAATATCATGAATAAGACTGAGGAAAAACCAAAAGCACAAGAATAAAGGCAAGCACAAAGATGAAAGAAATCTTTGGATAAGGATAAGAATAAAAGTAAGAATAAGGATAACATAAGGAAGCGAACATAGCATCTACACCTCTGCTTATATGTTATATGTTAACGCATAATCTATCTAATTACTAAACATAGACGCATAAATATATATGAGAGCACTGCCTGTCAATTTGTACAACCCCCTATGGACGCGACATCTCAGCCTCGCTCCTGCAGCCGAAACGATGTTAATTAATTAACGTTCGAGGAATCACTAAGGTTTGAAAATATACCAAAAAGCTTTCAGAATCTTTATAATACTTAGGTCACTAATATACATAGAGGAACAGAAATCTATATCATACGGACTTAAGAAGTATCTTTTATTTACATTTTACATACCTCCTTAATAGTAGTCTTCTATTAACATGGAAACGCGGAATTTTCCTAAACAATATTATGATGCGCAAGCTTCTTAAATTTTAAACAAAAAGCGTTTATCCTTAGTGGTGGTTTCCTCTTTATTACTAGGAAATGAAAAGAAGACTTCGATGTTCTTAACCTTTCCTCTAGGAATGATGTTTTTGCAAAATTGGACCACTGTAGATATAATTAACTGCTTTTCAACCTGTTCAGGGTCACTTACAAAAATCTAATCTCAATATGTTAATCTCAGTATGTGACTCTTTTAACTCAATCAATCAAAATCAATGCACCTTAAAATACGTATCTTGCCTAAACCTTCGCATGATCCGCAAGCTGAAATGAATATATTCATGATGAACGGTTGCCAAGACTTTGCCTATTTGCAGTGGCTATGCGGGCACTCCCAACTCGGATTTATACCTGGTGCGGGTGCGCCGCTGCGCCCGATGTATGGATGTTTCTTTCTTTCAGTTTTCTCTTGGATACCTACCTCTACATGAACTTTGTCCTTTTATTTTTCTTTCATTTTTTAATCTCCTTAATATACTTACATAATAACATTTAACCTAAGACTTATTTGCAGAAGTTAATCGAATTCCGACTATTAATTTACTTTAGCTGAATACCGCATTTAAATAAACAAACAAAAAAGCAACTAAAAAGGCTATAGTGGGTCAGTGCCAACGTTAAACACACTGCCATTACTCATATGTACGTTGAACAAAGGGAAACAAGTCGGGCTGGTAGACACGCCTACAGCCGAGCAGACAAGATTGGATAGACTGAGAAAGTGATTTTGATCGATCGATGAAATAAAACAATTATGGGCACATCTCAAGTCCTTCTACTTCCTTCTACTACAAGTGGTGTAGAGTATAATTAATAAAGTTTGCATATTTCTGTTATTGAATAACATATTTAACTGCTTAGCTTGACCTCCGTAGCGCCATAAATTCTGAAATTCGTATTGCTTAACCTAATATTGAGGGCAAACTGTATTCATCGCCAAGTGTTGTTCTCAACTACTATTGCTTTAAAACATTTTATGTATGTGTTTCTATAGCCACCAATAACCATTATCGATGACCATTGAGAAGCCTTTATATATGTTCTCGTGAACATACATAGACACACACATGCATTCACGCAGCAGCAATCGCTAATAGTATTTGTTCTTGAATTAGAGCGTAAAATGTGAGGTATTGCTTGTAACAGAAATAAAATTCGAACAAAAAAAGGAACGAAATAAGAAAAAGAAAAGAAATGTAAGAAGAAGAGTTTTTCTTCTTCTTTTTTTTGCTTTCCTATCAATTTTAATGCGAACAGCTCTTTGAAGTGTTAAAAATATGTTTGCTGTGCTATTAATTATTAAAAACCTTTTAGATAAAATTAATTTTTAATAACTTTATCCATTTAAGTTAAGTAAAGTATGAAATTCAATTCATCGGCACTTAAGCTAATTGGAGCATAACTTATCTTTGATTGATATTTCAATTTTTTTTTTTCGATTGCAATTTGAATGATTTCTTATACTTGGCATCTTGCTGTTTTTATACCTACGATCAGAGAATTCCCTATAGTTAACTCATCAACCTTGTAACACTAAGTTTGCTGTAGACTTTAGAGACATCACAGCGTGCACAACAAGATGTGACATAGAAAGCTGCGCAATTATAGCATATGTGGTCCAAATTAATGGCTCAAGATCAAGCTGGAAATTAAAAGCAAACTCATCGACTCAATAAACAAACTGAGTAATGTCCTTAAAAGTGCGATATTTGCCGCAAAGAATTCTTTTATAATTGCTTGGAATTGCCATCATCAGTTATGGACTCGTCAGTCCATAACTATCATAAAGTTTCGCGACCCAAGGTGAACACGTCTTTCTTAGTTATTTTCATACAGGGTATCTGCTTTCAACTCATTACATTCCGTTTTCCGTTTTATAATCAAAATTTTTATTAACAATTACACAGAATGCATTTTTCATCTTCTTTTTTTCTTTGTTTTTTTTTTTTCATTTTTTCATTTCATTTTTTTTTTTTTTTTTCTTTATATTCATATTGCTAGGTACGTATTCATCTCTTGACATAGATTGATTGATTATTTTCATAACGATTTCAATTGTTTGCTTTGCACAATTTGCAGTCTATGCTTATGTACGTATTATTCATTCTCTCGCAACCAGAAGTAAGAGCAATTCTAACAGCAGTAGCACTCTTATCTTTTCTTGTTTACACTGTGTCCTTGTCAATGCTTATGTGTTTGTGCACTATTATTAAGTTAAAAAACTTTTATTGTCTGCAGTTACAGTTGATTTGTTATTTTTCTATTTTCATTCTCACGAACTGCGGAAGTACTTGGATGACGGGGCGCAAACCTTATTATCCTATTTGCAATAGTTAAACTTCCGCTTGGAATCTTTAGGTGTGAGGACTGAGTAAATGAATTCTTACTTCAAGTTACATACCGCCCTAAATAAAAGGCCGCTATTAACATAAAGAATTTATTATCGTCTCTATTAATTCTTTATCCGTTGCACAGGTATTGCCGTCAAGTACCCTACGTTTCACTAACAACTGGCTTAGATCTAGATAAGGATTTGGTAGAATTCTGTGATCATATGCTTGTTATTGGTCTTCTCCTATGTCTGACAGGGAGACAGTCAGTTCAGCGTATACCAATAAAAAACAAAGTCTCTTAATATGAAAAACTGCAATATTATTATGCATTCAACGCTTATACATGCACACATATCCATGTTGCTATGACGAATATTAATTAAACATTTGAAAATTTTTAAAAATAATAATAAAGATAAGTTTTCAAACTTATAGTGGAATCATATTTCAGTTTAATTTTCTTTCATAGACTAATTATAAAATAATAAAAAAAAACAAATAGAAAAGTTCAACTTGAAGGAAGCGAAAGATGCTTAATCTTTAATTAAGAACCGGTGCGATGAAATTCAATCTTCTCTCGCAATTTGCGGGATAGTGTGGATTTTAACAACACATCATGGATAAATGAGCGCCTAGAGTGAAATGCAAACGCGATTCGTAGTCCTATCCATAGAAATGGAAAGTCCAATATGAAAGCCCCTTTTGTTAGAGGGCACAGCAAAAGAAAAAATGACGTTCAGTTTGTAGCGAACTGTTTTTAGTTCTTATTTATTTATTATTTATTTAGGAAACAAAACCTTCTGATAAATTCTACTTACTAAACTAAGATCCTGATTTGGCTCAGTAAGTGTGGCCAGAGAAAGACAATAGGGTGTTCATTAGGTAGCTAACGGAAAAAGAAGCTGCAGAAGAAGTAAATTCGTTTAGTGCCAAGTAAAATGAATCTTCAAGCCGACCACATGTCAAATTTCATGACGTTGGCTAGGCTAACACTTGATTGACAGCCGCAGAAAGTAAACAACTTTGGCATCGTCTTTCGAAATGTAACAAAGTGAATTTCGTGCTGCGATTAAATTTTAAAAGTGGCTTGGAAGCTAAAAATAAAGCAATTAAGAAAGGTTCGATAAACAGTATAGCGAAACGAAATGTTCAGTTGAGGTAGAATAGGTACGGGTGAATTTAAGGTGGTCCTGTAAGCACAAATAATGACACTGTTCAGGCTGCCTAATTGAGATTACTATACCAGAAATTGAAAATCTATATATGATGTTGAAGTTAAAATTAAAAGTAACTGAAGTAAAGTAGAGCGAACTAAAGGCCATGCTACAAAGGCCTTGACTACAAGTGGACAAATTAACTAATATGTAAATTGCAAACCACGTTACCTGATGCCCGCAATTCAAATGCATTCAGGGTATTGACTATTCACAGATTTTAATCCTTCTACTTTAACATATGTTTTTTCAAAAAATTACTCCAATCTTAGTACATAGGCAGGAACTTCCTGATATTTATATGTTATATGCTGATAAGTTATATATTTACAGATACAGATATGTTGCACTTTGTGGCTGTATTTGACTTAAGGAGAGAAAAACCAAATGTGCATATATACACATATATACACAAATAATCGTTTATGCAAATAGGTTTGATCAACAGCTAATGACACTTTCGATTTAACCATTTCTTTAACTCTTTGCTAATGGATCAAGACACTTTATTTATTACGAATTTCACTTTTTGTATTTATTTTATTTATTTATTTTTTTGTTGAAATGCCTTTTCTATCGAAGAAGATGTGACTTTTTCTTATATTTCTTGAATATCAGTTTTGGCCAAAAGAGCACTCAGTATAAATACATTTCCATATTGTGTGTTTGCGAGTGTGCGAAGGCCATAGTAAGCAAGTGAAGATTAGCAAATTGCCAGACAATCATTTTTATACCCGTCAAAGAAAATTTACAAATATACTAGATTTGTCCTTTTGTTTGTAGCGTTCATAGCACAGACATCAGGGCAAATGCTCCTAATGAATACAACAACCTTCGCCAGTTTCTCGACGTCGGTTCCCTCAATTGCCCGATTTTCCATTTCGCAGACGTCT